CCCTGCCTCTGCCCCATATTCCTAACTTAACACTTGGATATTTTTACAACATATATTCACTTTGAAAGATAATACTGATACCTTGTTTTATACGGACCTTTATACATCAGGACCCTGGCGAGGGACTGACTTCATTGGGATACTTTATGGCTTAATACATCCGAGTGATTTATATCTCGTTTTTTTTTTGTCTAAGCATTTATGCTAATAAATTTAACAGATTCCCTAGTACTGCCGGGTCCTTCCTTGTCTTCAGGGGGTCAAAGTGAGAGGGAAATAAAGCAGTGTGTTACTAAAGAAAGAAGAAATTGGCCCAACCAACTTAAAACCCAAGATTACAACAAATAAAATCTGATTACAGTTAAACTGGAGCAACAGCCAAAAAAAAAAACATAAAAAGAAAAGTTCCTAGATCCAGATAGATTTCTGTAATTAAGCTGTTTCTCAAAGGGAGAATCACAAAAGTGACAATATTTAGCAAGCTAATTTACTGAGGAATATTTTGATCCTATATAATTAAATCCAACACTGAGCAAAACTGACAACTATTAAACTGAGTGCAGTAGGGAGAAGGAAAGAGAATAAGATAAAATCCAGTCTATGAATATGATCCATTATCTTTTATAGGTTAAAAAACAAGAAATACTTGGAAAGAGTTTTCTAAGATGGAAAGATGTTCAGATTGTGTGGGGATTTTTTTTTTTACAGGTGCAGAGTTAAGTTGGATGTTCCCCCCCCCTTCCTGGTTTTTTTCTTTTTTCCCCCTTTCTCCCCGTTGTTTGCAAAGTTGAATCTGGGGTCAGGAGTTCTAATTGTAACCTCAGACTGGAATTCCAGATGGTGCGCTCAGGACTGGAAGCAGCTCTCAGTTCATCAATTTCATGGGCCTACATATCTGCTCTGGCCACGGCCAGGCCTCTATCCCCACTGTGGCATTAATGCAGAACAAATTGAGACATATCCTCTATATAATTAGTTCCAGAATTTAAAAAGATTTACGGTATAATAATAGAGGCAGCGCTGCAGAATCCTTTCATTGGGGACTCGCTGGGAGCTCCGAGACCATTTCGCGGTGGCATCAGAACAGACGGGTAACCCTGGAGGTTCCAGGCACCGCGAGCTGGGGGAGAGGGGGGAATTTTGCGCTGCGCACCTACGTGGTAGTGCACACCCGTCCCAGACCCCCAAACCCGGTCAGAGAATTGAGTTTGAAACGTCAATGTGGGATTGGTCACCAAAAAAGTTAATTTTCAAATTAACAGAGGAAGCGGGGTGGGGAAGTGGGGGTGGACGATAACAAAAGCCCTTCCTTTATTATTATTGTCATTATTATTTTTTAACTTAAATAAGTGTCGCTGGGATTTCTACTGCTAGCAAGGGGTTGGAGAGCAGCCTAAGCGCCTGACCAGCGGCCCGGGGTAGACAGATTCTTGAGTTGGAGTCGGAGGGGAGGAGAGCAGCAGCGTTCATGCTATCGGAACTGCGCGTGGAGCTCAGGGCGCTGGCCCCTGCACCAGGCACCATAAAAGCCCCTGTTCCTCCCGGCGCCGGCAGGCGACCCCAGCCCTTTGCAGATCGCAGCGCTTGGGTGTGTTTACTCAGTTGTCGGCAACCGCAGGGGTGACGCACTTAGCGCAGCCGGGTAGCGCTCGCTGGTCCGCGGGGCCGTGGCTGCAGGGTCCCGCTCTGGGCTCGGTCTGCTGCAGTTGACAGCGCCGGGGTCAAAGTGGAGGGTTTATAGGTCCTCACCGCCCCCTCCCACTCAGTCGCGATTTTTTTTATTTTGCAATAATTAAGCACCTTTCAGTAATTAAGCACAGGATGCGCTTTACTGATGTACTAAAACTACATGGGTTTCCAACGTCTCTCCGTCTCTGTCTCTCTGTCTCTGTCTCTCTGTCTCTCTCTCTCCCTTCCTTCCTTCCCTCCCCCTGTCCTCCTCCTCCTCCCTTTATTCTCCATCCCATTAGCTTGAGAGACGCAGAGAGATGGTGGTGGTGGATAAAGCCCTGAGCTGGACGTTAAGAGACATGGGTTTCAGCTTGGCTTTACCACTCACTTGCTAGTGTTCTTGAACAACAATAGTAACACAAATTGTAACGTTTATTGTGTACATAGGGCAATACAATCCTCCTTCTAATCCTCACGAAACCATGAGGTAGGCGCAAGCATCACATCATCCCATCCCGTTTGACCAATTAGGAAACAGGCTCAGAGAGGCTAGTTTAGGAAACCTTAGGCCCTAGATTCTAGGGTTACACAGCTGTTGGATACCTGATAGAGCTGATATTACATTAATTCTCTGGCTACCAATCCCTTCCTCTTAACCACTGCACTCTACAGCTGCCTTTCCTAACTATGCCTGGGCCTCAGTTTCCTTCCCTGTAGAAAGAAGAGTTGAATTTCCATCTCTGCCAATTCGTGACGCAAACGATCCTTTAAGCCACAGGTGTTAGCGCTGATGCCTGTGGGAAGGTGGGTGAGAGAAGGGAGCCGCCAGGTTTCCGCAGTCCTCATTTCCCTGGGACCTCGGGTGGATCTCGAACTACAGGAAGTGCAGCAGAGAGCCTACATGCGGGCCGGGGGAAAGGTGAACCTTCCTCCGGGCCAGACTGTCTGCTCCTCTGACCAGCGCAGGGCGCACAGGGTAGTGTAGCGGGCGCAGCCGCCTGGGTAACCGCAGAGCTCCCGCAGAGAATGTTACTCCCTTTCCGGGGAAAGGGAGTAGTGTGTGTGTGGGGGGGGGGGGCGTGGGACGCCCTGCAGCCGCTGTAGTTTGCGGGTTCCTCGGCATTGCCGCAGGGCTCCCGGGCTTGTGGTTGGGCAGGGGCTGTTCAGAGACTTCCTCTAGGGTGAGGTCCCCGGACCGCAGGCGGTTCCGGACGAGCAGCATTTACTTCTCGGCCCCGAGGGTTGGAAGGAACTCCTCCCACCTCTTCGGACTACGAGATCGAGGCGAGAAGCACTTCAGGGTTGAAATGGGGATCTCTCCAGGATTTGCTCGACTCCCCTTTCTTCTTACCCCACCCCTGGGCAAAAACTTTCTCTCTCTCTCTCTCTATCTATAGATAGAGAGAGAGAGAGAGAGAGAGAGAGAGAGAGAGAGAGAGAGATAAGCGCCTTTGCCCTATCTGTAATTCAAAAACACAAAAGCTCACATTCAAGCTATATCCTTTTCCAAATACCGCCCCCCCCCCTAAAAAAAAGTTTGCAAAGGCGACATCTCGACTTTTTCGTTTGGAGATTGAAATCCCTGGCTTTTCATAAAGGGACTCGCCTTTCCTCGTAGAGCTTGAGTGAGTCCTAGTTAAGAAAATAACGACTTCTAAGTAGAAATAAAAGTGGGGGGTATGAGACAGGGGTCTAAGGCGTTTTAGGGACAACATGGCCTGAGAAATTTTGTCTCAGGGGACTTTCTCCACCAAAGTGACCAAACGTGCACGCCCTCTGCCTAGCCCTGGAGCCCCGCTGGAGGCTGAAATGAGGCCTGCGTGAGAGGAGTGGGTGGCCCACAGAGAGTATAGGTGGAGAGGGAACTGGCCTCTAGAGCCTTTTCATTTCCTAAAAAAAAAACTTTAGTGGAGACGAAGCAAAGCCAGGCACTAAAGTAGCGCAGAGAGGTGTCCACGACCGTGAAAGTAGATGGGGAAGCAAGCGGGTAGCGGTTGTTCCGGATCTTTGCCCTCACAGTCTCCTGAGCCTCCAGGAGGAGCGACCCCAAGAGGAGGGGATTGCGCTTAGGGTGTAGGTCTGGGTTCGCACGCGCTTTTGAGTCCGCAGCAGGAACTCGCCGCTACTTCGTTTACCCAGTGCAAATTAACTAAAAACCAAAGCGTAAGAAACGGAGACTAAGTCTAGGCTTTCAAAACGCTGGCTTCTTTGTAAAACTGCAACTACCTAAATTGTTGCTTCACATGGGCTTGATCGGAAAGGTTGGGGCTCTAACCCCAGACAGCCTGGTGTAGGAGACCTGGCGGCAACCGGCCGCTTCTTGCTTGGAGCTACTGGTGGTCCCAGGCTGCGCTGTCGCCGCTGCCTCCTGGCTGTCTTGGGCGTTTCCTCGAGTCCCTGAAACGCACTCCAGTCCAGATACCTGGCGCTTCTCCTTGCCTAGCGTCAGTTTCCCGATAGATGCTATTTTTGGAAAAAAGAACAAAGCAAAAACAAAAAACAGAACCTCAAACACCTGCTCTGGGACGCCTGGCTCCCAAAGAGTGACCAGGTGGAAGGAGGACTCTAATTTGGCGATGCCAGGCGCTCGGAACTCCCAACGGTAAGAACACAGCCTTGGACCGTGGGCCTTTGGAAGCTCTCCTCTTCGGTCTACCTAACTGGCTTGCCTTCTGATCAGTCATTGCGAATCCAGAATGGTACTGCGAACTGTGGATGGAAAGAGTTCAGCAGGAGCGGCTCCAAAAGCCAACCTCCCCCGGGGACTTTGTACCCAAACCCTGCCCACTCCCCAAACTGGGCGCCAGGGTTCTCCGGCAGGGATATATGCAGGCTACGGCAGTTTCCCTGAGCTTTATTCCCTCCCAAACTAGCCGCTGTTTTCCTGACTTCACCGTAGAAAGAGTTAGATACTCTTAAGTAGAAAGGGAAATTAAGTGCCGATGACACGATTTTAGGTAGGCAGCAACATCACCAAGTAATCAACTACCAGACTGACGTAATCCCTCCAGGTCACCCACGTTCACCTTGAGTCTGGCCTCCAGAACCCACAAGGGGCTTCCGCAACCCCTCCTTCCCTCCTCCGCCCCAGCAGTGATCCCGAGATTATGGCCACCACTCCAGCCCGATGGCTCTTGGGGCAAGAGCTGGACTGGAGCGCGCTGAGCAAGGGAATCCACCTCTTTGGAGTCCGGGAAAGTTCTCTGCGCTTTCCTGAAGTTCCCGCCCTCGTGAAGCACCCCCTGTCCCTCCCTCCAACCTGCCCTCTCAGATTAACCACCCCATCCCTACGGCCTTCCCACAAGGACGCAGAGGGGACATTCAATGCTCACCTGGAGAGACTCGTCAGTGGCTCGAGGCGCCCACACTCGTGAAGGCCGAGAAGGGGAGGTAGGGGGAGGGTTGTGTCCCACAGGCCAGCTAAGAGCGCGTGGCGGTTGGAGAGGAGGGTGTCTCCGGGAGGGACGCTCCCTCAGGCCCGCCCCCCACCCCCACTGCGAGGGCGCCCCAGAGGAGCCGCGCGCACTGCCTGGACCCGCTTGGGCTGCGGTGTGAATGGAGTGGCGGAGACTCCTGGCTCCTCCTCCTCCCACGCCGCCGGCCCCTCTTATTTGAGCTTTGGGAAGCTGGGGGCAGCCAGGCAGCTGGGGTAAGGAGTTCAAGGCAGCGCCCACACCCGGGGGTTCTCCGCAACCTGACCGCCTGTCCGCTCCCCCCTTCCCACCCACCCTCCCACTCATTCACCCACCCAGAACCGGGACGGCAGCCCAGGAGATCGGGCCCCGCCACCTCCTCGCCGCGATCCTGGACTTCCTCCTGCCGCAGGACCCGGCTTCCACGTGTACCCCGGAGCCGGCGCCTTCGCACACGGTCCGCTCCGGGCCTGGGTGTCTTCCGCAGCCCGAGCAGCCGGGGATCCGGGGCCCGAGTAGCATCTGGGCCAAGTTAGGAGCGGCCGAGTGGAGCACCGAGCTTCTGCAAGGCCGGAGGGGCCGCGGGGCGTCCGGGGCTGAGCTGCAGCAAATGGGCTCCGACGTGCGGGACCTGAACGCGCTGCTGCCAGCGGTACCCTCGTTGGGCGGCGGCGGCGGCTGCGCCCTGCCCGTGAGCGGCGCCGCGCAGTGGGCACCCGTGCTGGACTTTGCGCCCCCGGGCGCCTCGGCTTACGGTTCTTTGGGCGGTCCTGCGCCGCCGCCCGCTCCGCCGCCACCCCCGCCGCCGCCGCCTCCTCACTCCTTCATCAAACAGGAGCCGAGCTGGGGCGGCGCGGAGCCGCACGAGGAGCAGTGCTTGAGCGCCTTCACCGTCCACTTCTCCGGGCAGTTCACCGGCACAGCAGGAGCCTGTCGCTACGGACCCTTCGGTCCTCCTCCTCCCAGCCAGGCGTCGTCTGGCCAGGCCAGGATGTTCCCCAACGCTCCCTACCTGCCCAGCTGCCTCGAGAGCCAGCCCGCTATTCGCAACCAGGGTAAGCAGGCCGGGGAGCGCCCCCCCCCACGGGGGGGCGGTGGCGACGGGGCTATCGCCGAGCGTGAGCACTATGCTGTCCAGCCTCTTCCCTGACCCCAGCTCTTTACTCAGCTGCCTCCCCAGGGATGGTGAGGGTAGCGGAAGCAGCAGCTGGGGAGAGAGAATTCCGGGGAGAGGGAGTACGCGCCGGGGTGCGATTCCTACATCCTCGGGAATGTTCGCACGAGCCGGGAGGTCATCTGGGGCCCCTCTGACCCTTGGAGATTCCGGGACTTCAAATCCCCGTTAGAGTGGGAAGGGGGAACCTGTGCAGTGTCTAGCTTTGTCTCAGAAGGGGTTTTGTCGCTTCACCAAACTTACTAGGCATTGGACTTTTTAGACATTTAGACTCTATATTCTGGAGTGGGACCAGCGCAGGGTGAGCAGCCGGTGCCGCCTCCCCCGCGCCAAAATGTCCAGGAGCCGCTCTGGCCCTTAACACGGTATTGGCCGACATTAGATGCTCTATAAGTATCCTGGATCACTAGAATGAGGAAATGACGGGCTAGCAACTAATCAGTGGCTTTCCTGGAACAACGTCGCGTCCGAGTATGGCTCCCGCGTACGGTAGTAAGGAAGCAGATCTCTTTTTGGTTCCAGCTCAGGTGGTGGCCAAGCGGGATCCAGGGCTGGAAGAGAATCCCATTTGTCCGATTACAAACCTGTGCGGGACGGGGTTCTATTATAGGCTCTGAAATGAGGCTCTAGCCTCAGGCGCCTCCTCGTCGTTGAATGCGGGGCTCAGTTGGGGAACGATTTTTGCAAGACTTGGGGGTAGAAGGACAGGTTTATTTGTCGTTTTCAGCCTTTGTACATCGAGGGACATAAACCTTAGTTTTCTCATCCTGCGCTAGCGCCAGCACAGCTCTTTCTCAGGAACCAGCGCCGAGCCAATCAGGTCGAGCCCTTGTTGTTTGGTTTCTGAATTTATTCTAATTGGACTTGTACGCTGTTGAGAACTTAAACCAATTCCGGTTGATTCGATATTGTAGGAAATGTTTTACAGACACAATGGCGGATGCTTTTCCTGGAGCAAAATTTCGCACGGGCCTAGAGACTGGGATGTTTCTGTAGTGCGTGGGATGGGAGAAGCAGAGTGTGTACTCTTTGCAGGAGGTTCCGGGTCTCCCAAGGCGCGGAAGAAGGGCTCTCTGTTCTTCCTCAGGTCGCGCTCGCCTTCTAAACGCCTATCTCCAGGCGGCCTGTCTCTACCTCAGGGCCAGCCAGGAACACCTGGCCCACCAGAAGTCCTGACAAAAGCTAAACCGCCCTCCTCTCTTCATCCAGGGAATCCGGGATCTGTGACCAATGGAGTAGTCTTAAGCAGACCCATGGGGTCCCTCCACTGTAGGTCTTTTGTAAATGAAATTAGCATTTCAGACTCAAGGGGTGTTGGAGCAGCTCAGTGTCCATGGTGAGGCTTGCGTTCTCTTATCATGCCACCTCTAATTAGCAGACTGGTGTTACCTTTGGCAAATCTCCAGGTCTCAGTTTCAATATTTGTAGGAGGGGAGCTGGATGGGCAGCCTGGAGATTGGGTCTGACCTGAATTTCTGTGCCATGGATGCAGAAGTCCAACTTTCCCTCTGTTTTGGGTTCTAAATACAGAATGCAGAGCAGCCAACCTAACCTTGACTGGCCTGCCTTCTGGCTAGGACTGGCAGGCAGGTGTGTGATGTGAGCCTCTGTATAGATGTGTGCTATGTGGAGAGGCCGAGAAGTCATTTGATTGAAGTCACTCCCCCCACACACACCGCAGAATACTGTGCCATTATTTATTTGAGTCTCTCTAGGTACTGTGAAGATTTTGGAACCTGTGCTTTGTCACTTTGTTTGGGCCCCTGTATCCAGTCTTCCACAGAACAGGTCTGGTGCCCAGGATCCCATTAACCCAGCGTGGGGTGGGGTGGCAGACTGTGGAATTTCAGCCAAAGGGCACACTACACCTAAGGAGAAAATCTAAATTCCGTTCTAGTAGATAGGCCCTGCAGCAAAAAAGTAAAAGGTTTGAGAACTGGGGTCCACCCTAAGGAAGAGCCCCCTGGAGAGCTGGTCCCAGACTCAGCCACGACCTGTAAGCCTGGTTCTATTTGCAGGCTTAGGTTTTCTCTTGCAATGAAAACATAAATGAGCCAACTGGCCCAGTTCTTGGGACTCACTCAGCAGTTGGGAGCTGGGGTGGGAAGTCAGAAGCTGCTCCGGCATCAGCCCTGGCGTTGGCAACTAAGGTGGGCTCTGAGGCCTTGGAGGTTCCAGATTTATTCTCTTGATTTCCAGGGTTTCAGCAGCTTTTCCAGGAACCAGGGCCTCAGGAGAGATTTGGGCTGAGGGGAGCAAGGCATCATCAGTGTGGGAATGGCTGTCAGCAAGGCCGAGGCCAGACTCTACCAGAGAGGCGCCAAAACCTGGATGCCTGTCCCCAAACAGGGCAGCCTAGCAGTGGCCCACAGGAGACAATTGCTGGCACCCTCTCACTTCCTCCCTACCCCAGGCATCAAACCTCATTTTCCCCCTATTTCTTAAAATACGGTTTTCCTATTTCTTAAAAGCACAGATGATGTCTTAATCTTCCAAAGATGAATTCAGCAAATATTTATCAAGCACCTATTCTGTGCCAGGCACTGGGGACTGAATATTAATTAAGACAATTAATGTGCCCCAACCTTTGCAAGAAGCTCACAGCCTGACATTGGAGGAGCCCCTTATTTCTGGATAAGGAAATTTAGGTTCTAAGATTAGGTATAAGAGGTCTCAGTTTGTGGCAAAGCTGGGACTCAAGCCCAGACCCTTCCATTTCAACGTCCTTCCCCAGGGATCTTGGCCCACTTTTGAGGTGGATTTCCTCTGCCCTGCTGGATGGGTCTGTGTGTGAGACGGCTGTCAGGGCAGAAGCAGGGCGAGGACTTGGGTAGCCCCACATTAAGTTTGGAGTTTAGGGAGGGGAAAAAAGCCACTGTCAGGCCGATTTCCCCAGCCCCCTTGGACGAGTAGAACCTTAGCGCACGGGGAGGCCTTGGCTTCACCCACTACGCTAGGTGGGGAGACCAGCTTGACCCAAAGGCCAAAGCCCCTCCCCCCCTTGGGTTGCGTTGGAGAGGGTATTTTGTTGCCGAACACATTTGCCCATATTCTGCCGCAGCTGAGGAGTCATCAATGTCAGCATTCTGACCCACCATCTTCCTGACTGAGCCTCCTGTCCACTGCACCCCTCAGCTCCGCCGGGCTTGGTCGGGCCAGGCGGTTCCCGGATCCTCCGCTAAGGTGCGCGGGGGAGGGAAGCGCAAAGCCTCTAGCTGCTCTGCGCGGTCAAGGCTGCACTCCCTTCTTGAGCCGAGACTAACCGTGGGAAAGGCGCTACCTTGGACTCCGGAGCCTCTTCCTCTAAGGCCTGTGCATGGAGCCTTTGAGCACGCTGCCCCTCTCTGCCCGCAGCTGTCTTTCTCCCTGCCCCCGCCCCTGCGCTCTGCGCGCCAGGCCCAGCGCTAAGTACCGGGACAGTGTGCTCTAATCAGTCCTACGTCTGATAAGCTTCTAATTAAAAGAGCCCTCCCTCCTCTCTGTGGGAGCTTTCACCACTGCCCCTCCCTGAGTACCTAAAGGAGGGGGTTGGAGGCCAGCCCCTGTGCACAGGGGTCCGCGTGTCTTGTTTGGGAAGGGGTCTTGGGAGCCTCGCCGGAGTGGAGGCGACGCAGCAGCCCGCACCCCGTGGCCCTTGCCGCTCACGGATCCGACAGTTGGGGAACCTGCCTCCGAAAACAACACAGTGCCCAGGGCCACGGCCTACTACTCCTCGGCTCAGGAATGGAGGAGGGTTCGTCCATAGGCAATTTCTTTGTCGCTTCTGTTTCTCCTATTTAAAAAAATGTCCTTAAAAAATTCGGCCTTCCTTCTGCAAAATTGGATGCTAGGAGCCAAATTTTGTTTGTAAGCTTATCGGTAGGCCTCTAACAGGGCCTGGCCTCTGATCTTAAAAAGGAAACCCAAGCGTGCTCACCCACGCCTGACAGCTAATGGGGCGGGGGTTATCTTTGCCCACTTAGTAGGCTAGAAATGGAGGCCTCTGGGGTCATGCAAATTATAAAAGCTGGTGGCTTCTTAAGTTGTCAACCTGTGGCACCAATTTGTGAGACTTGGCCTGCCCTGTACAATCTGGTAATTGAGACCTGCCTCACCCCCAACTCCCAACTCTCTGACACACCACATTCCCCAGAGTGGGCCGTGAAGCTCGGTTTCTGTTTTGGGGGGTATGTTTCCAAGTGGGGGTGACAGCCTCCTTTCTCTGTACAGTCTAAGTCTTCTGGGCCACTTGTTGCAGAGGGATCATGTCTGGGACAATAGTGGGGGGATGGAGACTGACCCACCCCATTCTCAAGGATTGAGTGGGGTTTGGAGATCCAGTGCAGTGGCTCTGTGTGTGTGTGTGTGTGGGGGGGTGGCGGAGATTGGGACTGGCCTGGTGGTCCTGCAGGGAGCCCTTGTGAGTATCGGGGCCACTGTCCTTCTCCACTTGGTCTGGGTTCAGGGCCCCCGGATTAATCCTTAGCTGGAGGATCCCTTATTCCCAGAGGTTGCACGGTTTTCCAGAAGCTGATGGGGTATATGTTTAAAGCAATTTAATAGCAATAATCGTAGAAGGAGACCACGTTTTTCGACTGAGACACCACTTATTTTTTCTCCCCTTCGGAGAACTGGGGAAGAACACGGGTGGTATTGCCTTCGGTTTCTTGGCAGGGAAACTGAGGCACAGAACCCGTGCACTGCCATGGAGGTTGAGGTACACTATCGGACGCACTCTAAAAGAAACAGGCTTCCCGGCCTGGGGCACCAGGAAATCGGCCCCCGCAATGGTGGTCCGAGTCCGACCCGCTTGACGCGAGGGGAAGAAAGAGGACGCAGAGTCGAGGCCTACGGGTCCAACTGGAAGGGCTCCTTTCCCCCCTCACCAGCTTTCCTGAGGGCCTTGGGTGTCGCGGTGTAGGGTCGATCAGCCTCAGACAGATGACATTACTCTGTAATTACTCTCCCCATTTAAAGCCCATGCCGTTTAACTGGCTCCGAGTAATTAATGAAAGTTGGTGCGCGGGCCCCTGATTTACAGCTCCGAGTCAGCGCGGGGTCAGCTGAGCAGATCCATTTCGCGAGCCCGCGCTGCCCCTGCGCGAGGGCCGCGGTGTTTGGTTTTGGGGGAGAACAACTTTCTCTGCTGAGCGGTTGGCAGTTTTCATACTTCTTTGAGGGAGGTTCGGTGCAGAAGCGGCAGACTCGGTAAAAGGCAGGAGCGTACATAAATTGGGAAATGGTGGGGAGGTCAGGGTTGTACATGGGACAGGGTGGGGAGCTTGTCGCTTGGGCCCGGCTTCGCGCCGATAGTCCTGGAAGCTGATGGAGCCGCGTAACCCTCCGCTGGGACCCGATGGGGGAGGGGAGGGCGAGCGCTCCTTCTCTCGGGTTCTGGTTCAGACCCACAGTCTCGGTCTCCCCGTTGACGCTGTGCCTCTCTCCTCCGCGCCCACAGGATACAGCACAGTCACCTTCGACGGGACTCCCAGCTATGGTCACACGCCCTCTCACCATGCGGCGCAGTTTCCCAACCACTCCTTCAAGCACGAGGACCCCATGGGCCAACAGGGCACGCTGGGTAAGCAAGAGGGATGATGTGGGGGGTGCTTTTCCTCTTCTTTCATTCACCCCTCCCAATTTCCAACCCACAGCAAATTGGGGAAGGGAGAAGAGGACATCTAAAGGGTTTTTTTTTAAAAAAATAAATAATCAGCCTGATCTTACTCAATTTCAAAGATTGAGTCCCTTCCCAATCCCAATTATGTTAGGGACAGCTCCACTCAACCAAGTCTACGAATGTCCCGAGGGGTTTTTAGGTGTACTGGGCAGTGACTGCTAAAGGAATATCAAGTGAGCCAGCTTAGCTCTTCACGACCTGGATGGACACCCTCTCTCTGCCCGCCCGGCATCCAGGCCCCGTCGCCCCCAGCTTAGCCTCGCAGCCCAGCTCAGGATGCTCCGATCCCCAGCCCCTGCCCTGGACCCCACCCCAGAACCTTGGGGGCGCGCTCACTCCGCTCTCCCCGGCTCCCTGCAGGCGAGCAGCAGTACTCCGTGCCGCCCCCAGTCTATGGCTGCCACACCCCCACCGACAGCTGCACAGGCAGCCAGGCCCTGCTGCTGAGGACGCCCTACAGCAGGTAGGAAGGCGCTCGGCGCCGGCGGGCGCGGGAACGTCCCACGCGGGGCAGCCCGGACTTCGGGCGTGCTGGGTCCTGGAGGCAAAGGATGCCTTTAGTCCATTCGGCTTACTTAGAGCAAATTAAACGGATCTCCTGGCTCTGATTTGAAAGTAGATTTCCTCGTCTCCGTGTTATTTTGAGTAGAAACGAACGCGATTACTGTTAGGAGCGGAAGAAAAAAAGGGCAGCGCTTTGAGAAGTTATCTCTTAAAGGGCTTTTTGCTGGGAGGACTTTCGCATCCTCAGGACCAGCGGTTAAACGCGAAGCTCCCACACTGTTCTTCTTCTCACTCCTCGCCTACTGGCCACCCCGCCAGGCGTCTATAGGACTACTAAGGGGGCTCGTACCCTCAGGCAACAGCCTTCCCGCAGCCCCTGTCCTCCAAGCCCCGGCTGCGACCACGCTTTCTGGGCCTCGCTCGCAGCTCAGGGCCGCTCGCTGGGGCGGGACCCCGGACAGTGTGCGGGACGGTGGTCGGGTCGCCGCAGGGCCCTGCGCCCGCCCTTCTTCCTGTTCCCAGGAGGCGGAAGGCAGCTTCTTTTCCTTCGAAGCCTTTTTCCTGTCCCTTGTGCCTACGCTCGGCTCTCGCTCCACCCTCCACCGACTCTCCCCCAAATTTATTCTTCAACTTTGGGTGAACTTGGCCGGCATCCCGCGTCTCCGATAGGGTTGCTTAGTAACTGGTGCGCACACCGGCCCGCGCCGGGCGGAGAGGTGGGACCGAGGGAGGGAAGTGGTCGCTCGCGGCCTTGGAGGCCCGGGATTGGGCGCGCATTACCTCATGTTGCATCCCTGCCCCCACCCCGGTGCTGCGGGGATCCTGATACCGACTGCCCCCAAACTCTTCTCCGTCCTCCCTCCTCTCGGCTCCAGGAGCCGGGGCTGACGTCAAGGGAAGGAGGTAGTGAGGTAATGAAGGAAGGAAAAGCTCCTGCCCTGGAGATTGGGTGGGGGGAATGGCCGCGCCTGGGGGACCTGCAGTCCCACAGGTGGAGGAGGGGAAGGAGGCTTCGCTCCCGAGCCCGCAGTGGCGCATCCCAAAGGCTTGGCCTGCTTGCGAAATGGAGCCTGGGACGCCCGAGGCGCGTGGACTGTGGAAACCTTTCCTTTTGATCGGAAAATCGGCATATCTAATCAGATCTTGGATTCGAGATCTTTCTTCTTTTCTTTTCTTTTCTTTTTCTTTCCTCCCTCCCTCCCTCCCTTCTCTCTCTCTCCCTCTCCCTCTCTCCTTCCTCCTTCCTCCTTCCCTCCTTTCCTCCTTTCCTCCCTCCCTCCCTCTCTCTCAAAGAAGGGACAAAGAAATGCATGCAGGTTTCACAGATATAGAATGGTTACATGTTAATCACCCTCCTTTTCTCCTTCCTTAGCTGGAGACCAGGTGTTCTTTGACATCGCAGACCTAGAGTTCTGCCCCAAGCCTACATCTCTGTTCCTCCCCTCGGTGGGTCAGGTCACTGGAATGGATGCAGAATCCCCAACCATTCTGTTGTGACTCTCCTCCCCTAGCAAAACTGGGGCAGAGGGGCCATTGCCACCCTTCTTGAGGAGCTGCTCCTGCCCATTGCCAGAGTGGCATTGCTGTCACTCTGGTAGTAATTGGGGTGCAGTTGGAATGGTTTTAATGGGGTGGCCTTGGTCCACTCCTCCTCTCCTTGGCTCCAGGCTGAGAGGAACATCTTGATGCCCCAGTGGGACCTGTTTAGATGGGCCAGGTTACCTCCTGGGGGTTAGGGGCTGAGAGGCCATTGGAGTCGGGTTCAATAATAACACGCAGCTACACTCATTTCTTATTCTCCTTTCCCCAAAGCACAGACCCACCTTGTGGGACAGTAGGAAGGGACTGAGCTGCCTAGAAAGAATAAGGATCAGGGATAAAGAGATCACAACCACTTTTAATAACAATTCTCCAAACTGAGTCCCTGTGGTGGCTTTTGACTTAGGGCTGAGTTCGGAGTTACTACAGAAGTAGAAAAAGGTACTTGGATTGCATTTTATACATAAACATTTTCACATTTTCTAATCCAGCTTCTAATTGGCCACTGTGTAAAGCAATTTTGTCAGGTTCATCTTTTGGCAATATTTGCTTATCCCTTTTTACTTTCTACATCATTGGAACTCTTTTGTTCCTCATTTTTATATGAATGTCATAAAAATACCATTTTCCCCTGTTACAGAAAATTTCCTAAGCAGTAACATCTTCTAAAAAAGAATTTGTGACCCCAGTAGAAAAGAGTTTGCTCCCTTGAAGTGTGTACTGAGTCTTTGAAGCTCCATCCATCCTAAAGTCACAACATTTCTAATCATTTTTCAAAGATCAGGTACCTCCCCTGCAGTAATGATGGGTGGACAGGTGTAGGGATGTTTTAAAATTGGGTCTGTGCATCCACATTACTGCAGTTATGTCATTGCCTTCTTTCATACTCCTAAATGCTCCTGGGAATACAGCATTTAGAAAAGCATAGAAAATATGACTAAGGTTTAATCACTTAATAATTTAACTTTTAGATTTTAGATATTCAGTGGTGCCTTTGGTTCCATTCTCTATTCTGTCTAAAATTGTGTACTCCTGTGAAAGGCTTGCTTGTATTTTGTTTGCTTCATTGCCCTTGACCCTGTGAAGCAGACTTCCCAGCTTCTTCTCCCTGTCTTCCCCAAAGCTTTGTCTCCCCAATCTTGGATTTAGTCTCCCTTCCCATCATGAAATAAAGGTAATGGTACATATACAGACATTAAATAAGCAGTGCACAATGTGAATTTGATTGGAGGAAGTTTTCAGAATTCTCTCCTTGTCAGGAGAGAACTATACAATGAGAAAACCACTGTAAGCGCTCTCCTCTCTCTCGGGTAACAGATCTGTACATCTTTGTGTGTGGTGTAAAACAGTAGTGAGTAGAAAATGCCCCCTGGGCAACTTACGGGAAGTGATAGGAGATGGTTCCTCATCCTCCCTGCCCCACACCTATTGAACTTGGGTAGAGTTTTGTCTCAAGGTCACTAAGGCTTATGAGACTAGCTTTCAGCCCTTATGGAACCCAGTTATCATAACTGGGTGAGTCCCTATAACATAATTAGGATTTATCAGAGGCTGACTATGTGCTGTTGGGCTTTGTGCTAAGTGCTTCCTTAGTTTACTCACTGAATTCTTCTGATTATTCTATAAGGTAGGTACTCTTAATTTCTACTCTGCTGAAGAGGAAATAGGTTTAGAGACTCAAAGTTAATTTGCCCAAGGTCACACAGTGAGTGAGTATCAGAACCCAGATTTGATCCTCAGTGTGTCTGACCCTAAAGCCCATCTGTGCTCTGAATCACTGAGGGATTCCAGGCGACTCACTGCCCTCCACCTCAAATATTCCCCTTACATGTCTGTGCCAGCATTTTTGCTAATAAATGATAAGAGCAAATGCTCATATAGACTTACTACTGCCAGGCACTATTTTAACCACTTTACAAGCATTCACTTACTTAATCCACATAACATTCTTGGAGGTTGGCAATAGGTTATCATCCCCACTTTACAGAGGAGAAAACTGAGGCCCTGTGAGGAACTTGCCCAGTGTGACACAGTAAGTGACAGAGCTGGTGTTCAAATTCAGGTGGTGAGGCTCCGGAATCCATCGTTCTACCCACTGCACCCGCCCCTGCTTCTGCCTCTTTTGACACATAATTGCCGTTCTCTTTCCAAAGGTGGTATCTGCCCTAGGTCTTGCTAGAGAAAGGTCTTTATTTCCCACAGTTGTGAAAGAAACCCATTACCCGTTAGTTTTACCCACAGCTTTCAATAGTAAGGGATTAGTGGATTGGGGGCAGTCTTTTCCCTGGTGAGGACTGTTGGAGCCAGCTTGAGCTGTCTTCTGAAGTCCTTACTCACAAAGCAGCTCTGTCTTTCAAACTGCAGACTCCTCTAGTTTTGCCTGTACCACTTGGGCCTGAACTATTGGGGTGAAATTCAGTCCAGGCACCTAAAGAAACGCAGGGCAGAAACCTTTCTTCCTATCCATCCAGACTGCTTCCAGGGCCACCGTGGTTTTTGCTTGCTAGGAGGCAATATTCCCGGGAACACGGGACTCCATGCTCTCCTGAGGGGAGAGAGTAGTGAAGTCCACACTCACTAAGCATAATTTCCCCCCTGACTTCTGCCGAGAACAGGCAGCTAGCCGAGCCTTCCCTGCTCCCTTCCCTTGAATCCTCTTCCACAAGCCTCCTAGCCTCCTGATTTTCTGACCTCTTTGGAGCCCCCAGTCCCTTTCGGGCACAGCTTGATTCTCACAGCTACTTTGCAAAGGTAGTTGTGTGCACTGTGTTTGAAAAGTATTCCTGTGCACACGATTGTTTTAGACATTCTAGCTCTTTCCCTTTCTTTTTACTCTTTTATATGGTTTGCAAGTCTTTCTTTAGCAATGGTGCTATCAATATAAACGAGAATCTTTCCTTTTGCCCCTTAGCAGTTCGGGAAGCAGTAATTGCTGATTTGAATATTTTTAATTGTATGTTAATGATTCACCAATGGAGATGTTGACAATGGAGCTTGATACCAGTAGATTGTCTTTCATGTGAAAGAAACTTCCTTAGAGACCCTAGAGTTTCTGAGAAATCCAGGTCAGTGGGGGAAGTTCACAACCCACCATGTAGGTTAGCCTTCAACACAGACATAAATCAGAAGACAGCTTGTGCCCAAGGAAGTAAAATCATAATTAATGGTGCCTCTTTTCACTTGTGTATCTGAGTACACTTTACACGGTGTGCAAGTTTCACTTAAAACAATACTGGTGTATGTTTCCCACATAGGTAAGCATGAAGGCAGAAAGTCTGGAGTGGTTTCCAAGGTGGTGGGCAGTGTTATCAAAGCCGAAGGCTTGCTTGCATTGGACTTGTCTCCAGGGAGGGGGGGGGGATAGCTACTTTCAAATATTCCTTCAACTTTTGTGCTGACCAAGTATTTATTAATAGAAGTTGAATCCCCAGTGGGTTTTTCTTTGGTGAACTGGTGAGCTTGAGAGAAATTACAATACCAAGAGATTGACTGTAAAATAATTATTCACCATGGCCTGCTGTGCAGAAATTTCTCACCAGGCAGCCTGCACGGCGCCTCAGAGGGAAGAACACAGGAAAAGGGCTGCATGGAAGTCTGGCTTTAGCCTCTGTGCCGGAGCCTTGGTTGTCAGGTGGAGGTAAACCTACGGAGGCTTACCTGTGGGGCAGAGTTATTACAGCAGACGCTGGACACATCATGAATTCTGATGACAGATGCCAGTTATATATACCTTTTTCTTGTTTGTTGTTTGGTTTTTAAATCATCCCATGGGGAAACTCTTTTCTTCCATCAAGGTGTTACTTTGTCAGCCGGCAACCACCTGGCAGAGGTAACTTCAATCTCACCCAGGTTCTATGGTTTCATTCCAGGGATGACATGAACTCTTCTACCTTGGTCTGCTGACTACAGTAAACACACTTGAAGATGAAAATGTGCTTGAATTACACATGCATTTGAAGAGTGGAGGAGTTCTAGTCTAGATAATAGCTGAGGGCTTTCTTCTTCCTTTCTTTTTGTGTGGAGGTCGAGAACTCAGTAATATTGCAGTCCGGGCCAAAACAAACTCTATATGATCTACTACTGATTTCCTTTTAAGTTCCTTTTTTTGCTAGGACTGACTTCCTTTTATTTTACTCCAACTTGCATTAATCCAAGTTACAGAAGTTTCTTTCCTCTCTTTCTTGCCTCCAACTTCAAACATTTCTTACGTAGGAAACAAGTGACTTTTTTTTTTTAAAGACCTACTTAAAAAAATATAAAAGACACCGTGACTTTCGGAATATATTTTGGCAACCTACAATTTCAGAGTTCATTTCAGAACAGACCGACTTAGACAGGGAGCTGAAATGCCTACGTGACCACCGTGGTCGCTCTGAGCCAAACCACCTGCTTATCTGATCTCCCCTGGGAATGAGGTGGTTGACACCTAATGTGGTTATTTAATAATTAGATGCTTTATTTGTCAGAGGCCATATATTCCTTGCCTGGTGCTGCCTCTTTCTGTGGGTTTTCGTGATGAGAGCTAGGTATTGATCGATTGCCCAAAGAGATCAGAGCTTGAGCATGCTTGGGCCCAGTATTATACCTTGAGTTTACATATTGTCCTCTCTCTAGCAGCAGTTATTGTTATTGCTGTCATTGACTTCCAGTTGAAAGGGTGTGCCAGCCAAGCTGACCGACTGAGCTGCTGAGGAGACCCAGCCAACAGAAGGCAGGATGTGGTTAAAATTGTGCTCTGATCCTATCGCTGGCCTCAGGAAACCTATCAGTAGCTTGGGGATTTTCTGCAAGTCCTTCTCCCCCATCGGCTCGTCCCACCTTCTCTTCCCTTCTGAGGATTTACAAGCTGGGTTATTAGGACTACTCAAATCAAGAAATGGGGCTCCTATTGGGATCTTGGCACATTGTCCCTCATTAGCTGAAGAAGATGTGTTGGGAATCTTGCATTTTGTAATTTTTTGGAGAGAGAGTAGGTTATGATGCTCCCTTGAACATGTTCTCTTTCACCTCCAGACTGTTGTCTGTAATTTATTATTATTATTATTACTATTATATAAATGGTGTTGAGAGGACAAGGCTCAGAGCCAAATGATGCCTGAAGCCTTCAAAGGGTCAGAGACAGGGTGGGGGTGGGAACATCAGGCCAGCCAGCACTAGGCACCTATCTCTCTGAGCCCAGGTCCTTCTCTGATAAATGGGGATCATAATTATACCTGACTCACAAAGTTGTTGTGAAGAATATTGGAGATGTGTGAAAGTACTGTGCCAAAATTTGATAGATTAGAAAAAAATTAAAATATTTTATCTGTGAAATCTTCAGAGAGCCATTATTAGAGCTTTACAACATCCCTGTAAAGTTAGACTGATTGAGACCAATATTCTCATTTGACAGATGGGAAAACTGGGGTGTGGGGAGCTGAAGTGATCTTATCAAGGCCCTAAAACTTAAAGAGTAGCTCTGTCCAATAGAAACATAGCGCAAGCCATATATGTAATTTGAAATTTGCTAGTAGCCATGTAAAAAAAGAAACAGTAAAGTTAATTTTGAAATATTCTTTTAAACCCAATATAGTCAAAATCTTATTTTAACGAGTGGCACTAGCAGCATTTCAAGTGCTTACTAGCCACGTGTGACTAGTGGCTACAATGTTGGCAGTATAGAGTATTTACTAAGCACCTTCTAGGAAGATACACATATATGTAAGACATAGACCTTGAATTTGAGAAAGTTTGCTTTTTGGGAGCCAAGAAAATGTCCTTAAAAATATTTTCTCTTGGGGTACTTCCTTATAGAGACCTTTAGGAAACTATTAGACTGTTTTTTAAATCTGTGAGAAAATTCCTAAATCATGAAGTTAGATATTTGGGACTCATTAACCCACATGTGGAAACTTCTGTCACTCATCTTGTTTCTCAGCACTCTTGAAAATTAGGATTTTCTTAGTCTTAGGCAAGGATGAAATAATTTCAGAAAGATTCCACATCCCAATAGAGCCTAGGAAAATTGTCAACTGCGGCTGAGTGATTTCAGTTGGTGAACAATTTTTTAAAAATTAGTGACAAAAATAGAGAGCTGCCTGGGGAATACAATGCCTGTTGGCTGAGATTAATGGCAAGATTAATAAATGGATTGCTTGATGAAAAGGCGCAAGAGAACAAAAACCAGTAGAGATTGTGGAGGAGGCTGCTTATTAATGAACTGTCAGCCCAAAGAAAGTTCAAGAAACTCTTCTGTGTTAAATGCAGCAGGCTGGCACTTCTAATAAAAATTGGGGTCCTTCAGGAATTAATTACACCGGCCTTACAGCAAGAATTTGTGGAATTGAGAAACGTAGTGGCACAGACCAGCACGGGCTGCTGCTGCAAATGGGGAAGCTGCAGGAGAAACGAATCATTTTTTTCCCCCATTGATATGTAGGATATTGTAGTAGCATAATAGTCAGTCCGACATGGGGATGAATGATGGGGTCCAGATATACACTGACTAATGAAACTACACATACTTTCAGATTGAAGTCACTTCACATTTCATAGGTAAAATTCCCCCTGGAATCTGATTTCCTCCTTATCCTGTGTACCCGCCACTACAGAGTTCCAAATCATTTTCAAAGTGATTATAGGAGGGCAGATGGACTCGACTGTGATTTATCAAGCTTTGCCGAGAGAGAGAGAGAGAGAGAGAGAGAGAGAGAGAGAGAGAGAGAGAGAGAGTAGTATTCATTTATTCCAATTCCAAGTTCCTGTGATTTCCCAGTTTGGTTAGCCTGACAAAACTTTCTCTTAATTAAACTCTGGTATTGCCTCTGCCGGATGGGTGAAGCAACCCACAGGCATACCACGACGAGATGGAGACTGTCCAGAATTTGCAATCTGATATCGCGCGTTAGATATTAAAAGCTTCTTACTTTTTTCACTTCTGCCATGAAGGTAGAGGGAAAATGTTGTTCTGTAATGTGTTTAGATCAAGGTTTCCCAGACAAACCATTAATCTCTTGGGTTTCAAATTTCATAATTAACCATTTCAGTTCAGGACTAAATTGATTCCTAATAGAGCTTGGTCATGTAGGAGATGCCTGGTGATTGATTTATGTGCTGGTGTTCTAGGAATGAGATCAATATAAAATAAATAAATAAATGATAATTTAAAATGAAAACACATAAACATGTTTATAAGAGTTGTACATGCAAAAACACAAGGGGGTGAGAATAACTTGTGATTGGTTTACATGATAGTGTATTTCTCCTTTGAGGTCTTAATGTAAATAACCAGCCATTGTTTTCCCTCATAGAAATGGGTTGGGGGCTTTTTTTTTATAAAAGCTCTATTTCACTTGTAACAGGATTATAAAATTTATAAAGAATGTTTCCTTCAGTTGTGCATAGAGTTTATCATCCTCTTTCTTTTGCTTGTCACATCCATCACCCATCACTCTTTGACTTTTCAGGCCCTCATAATCCATATGATACTTATCCTTTTGATTAAAACAACTTAATGTCCTTTTCACGAATAATTAATCTGCTGTCTTTTTACTTTCAGCTTCAGGCTTTTAACTTTAATGTTGAGCTATCCAGCCTGTGTTGCCTTTCAAAGTTTCACTCCCTTTAGCCTCTTCCCTTCAAAGGTTTAATACCTCTTTAGAAAATTTAACGTTTGCTATACTAAGGTTTTTCAAAGGCTTCCAAATTACTCTCACCTCCTTTCTGCTATGTACGAAGTGAATAACTGTGCAGAGATTGGTGGGATGAAACGAAGATTATTTCAGACTCGTGTAGCCTGTCACTCTGGATAATGTGGAGGCTTTTGCTGTAAAGAAAAGTTAAAACTCCATTGCTTTTTGAAGAAACAGTTGCCTTTTTTTTTTTTTTGGTAGCTGTGCATCTCTAATTCTGGATGTTTTTTTAACAGTGACAATTTATACCAGATGACCTCCCAGCTTGAATGCATGACCTGGAATCAGATGAATTTAGGAGCCACATTAAAGGGGTAAGATCTTCTATATTCCATTGCCCTGAAACAGTAACTGACACCTGTTTGAACCATTTAAAAAGTGCTTGTAACTTACGAAGAGAGTATGGTGTTAGAAGAATAAGCATGGCTCTTTGTAGAATCAAGATGCTTTCCTCCCACCCTCAGTTCGTGGGTTGTGTTCAATATTAAACTTTCAGGAATATAAACAAGGGATGGTTTTGTCTGGAAAAAGGGAGTTGAGAATATTGGGAAAACTTAATATGGCCTTTACTTATTCAATTTTCTAGAGTTCTTCAAAGCTGTGTCCATTCAACCTCGAGTGAATGTTTATGTTTTGCTAGCAATTTCACAGATGTTAACTGTTGTATTATCTTATCAAGAAATGCTTTGAGTTTTCAAAGTCTAGGATCCAAAATCCAGCATTTGAGAGATGATGATTTGGACAAGCCAAAATCAGACGTGCCCATACCTGGTTGCACCAACAGGTTTTCTTCACAATTGATATACAACCACAATAAGGAAAACACGGCTATCAAACATAAGTAGGGACAATTCTTAGTACCTGAAAATGAGAAAAGAAAAGCAGGCGGGACTTGCTTTCAACAGTTAAATAACTTGCTTTTAGTTTTCTGGCAAGTCTGAGTTGCTAGGCAGTTGGATATGAACTCATGAAGCCTCTGTGATATATCAGGTGACCTTCTAGGTCACCTCCTGTAATCTTCCTAACAACATTATGAGGCCTAGGTACTGTTAACCCTGTTTTCCAAAGAAGTAAAACAAGCTCAGAGAGTTAAGTCACTTCCCAAGTTTATATCGTATTAAATGGTAGAGCTAGGACTCTAAGCCCAGATCTAATTCCAAAGCCCAGGCTCTTTCGAAGCTCACTGTGCGGCCTTCCACCACACCATCAGCTCCAGTGGGGTCGGGGACTTAGTTCAGCACTCTTTACTAGACAGTTAGCTTCACATCTCTGTATACTTCTCATTGGATTCTAGGATCTGGGGGCTTGCTAGAGCAATGCATGCTCCATTCCCCATTCCCCACCTCTTCTTCTCTTCTAGAGTTGCTGCTGGGAGCTCCAGCTCAGTGAAATGGACAGAAGGGCAGAGCAAGTGAGTGGACAATGCGATGATGGCAAAGCAAATGCCTTAGGCCTTGTTGGTGGCACCCGGGGGCGATGCAGGAGTTAGGACTGATGATGGGTAATCAGGGTAGCCTTTGGTGCACTGGGATGGGGAAAATCTATCCGTCTCCCTCTCTCTCTTTGCCTCTTGTTATTTATCATAGACATCATACTATGGGCGAAAATGGAGGTGGTAGTGACATTTCTTATCAACATACTCATGTAGAACAATTTTTAGAGTGATGCAGTAGGAGCCTTGCTCATTCTCTTGTGAATGTTTCACAAAATACTAAATTTGTAGCATTACACATGTTCCTGTTAGAGCAATCAAATCTTTCAGTCATACTTAACTTTCATTTTTCTCTATTTACCTTTAAATCTCTAAGGGAGAAATTAATTTTTACCTCAAGTCTATGGCCAGACTTTCCGCAAAGATTCTTTCGTTCCCAAACATCTGTGCCTTTCTCAGCTCTATAGCCTGCACCCTGGGACATTCTTGATTCAAATCAAATGAAATCCTTTGATTTCATTTTCCCTGCTTGAACACTAGAACCAACCTCCCTCTTCTCATCCTTTTTTTGAATTATTCTTCAATAATCAGCAGTTGCTTTTTATCTTTTAAGACTTACTGTTAAATCCCTCTCTCTACCCCCAATCCCAATTTTTCTATTTTATCCAAATCTTCACTTTCTCTCTCCAGATCTTAAAATAAGAAGCTTTCTGTTGATTTGATTTTTTTTCTCTCCCCACTTCCATCTAAGGGGCTGCTGACAGTTTCAGCATTCTGTCCTTCTACCTACCCTCAACTTGTTTTACATTTCTTGGCTTCTTGTTTCCACCCTTTTTTCCTGGATCTCTTCCTTTTTTTTTCTCTCTCTCTCTCTCTCCTCCACTGAGAATTCAGTAGCTGACCCCAAACTAAATGCCAAGTATAGACAGAACATGATTGTGAAGTGAGTACATCTCAGTTTTTAAAACTTATTCATGTTGGAGCACAGGGTTTGTTTTTTGCTCAATTATAAAAATTATAGATAAGGAATCTTGGCATGTGTTTGAATCTGAGTCTTTCCATAGTTGAGATAATTTTGATACCTTTTTAGGCTTATTAGTCACTTGCTGGACAGTCAGAGCTATATTGTAAGGATGAAGCAAAAAGTGTGAATAATTTGCTTTTTTCAACCCCATACCAAAAAAGTAACAAAAAACAACAGCAACTGGACAACTAGAAAAGTTTGCATTGTTCTTGTGCTTACATTTTGGAAAAGGATTCTGAAATCGAAATGTATTTCTTGAATACTAACTTTGGTCAGAGTGCTGTATAAAAAGGATCAAACGGCCCCACTAAATAGTCCTACAGAAGAACAACTCTTTGGAGAGTAAAGAAGTATGCAATTGTCTAATGTACTAACATCTTCTTTCACACTGTGGATTTGTCCCTTTAGGACATATTGTAAGTCAGCCAATGTCTGCTTCCATTTGTGAATTGAACACTTACCTAAGGATTGATGTTAACATAGTTGGGCCCTGCATGAGGGACTTTACATATGTTTCTTCTTTTGATCCCATGACAATCCTAGGATATTAGGGTCACATCCATCTTTCAGATGAGGGGGCTGGAGAGAATAAGCCACCTAGCCAAGTTTACATAGCGAGTAATTGGCAGAGCCATGTTGGAGTTCACTTCTGTCTGATTCCAGGATGTGGGCCCTAGATTAGAGTTTCTTAAACTTTTTATTTTTTAAAAAAGATTTTTATTGGGGAATTGGGGGAAGGGGAACAGACAAGTTGCTATCCTTTTTGTTCTTCAGTTTAATTGTGGAAGACATTGCTTCACTGGCCCAAGTTGGCACCATCATTGCGCTCTTCCCAGGCGAGGCAGATCAGTTGCTGGCTTCTGGACGGCCGCTCACTGTGGCTGCTGGCCGCTCATGCTGGCTGCTGGCTACACATGGGAGCCCATGGCAACCCACTACAGAAGGGGCTGCAGCCTACGTCGACGCCGGCAACTCAAGGCAGCCCAGCTCCAGGTTGAGCTGTTGTTCACCATTTTAGCTGTAGAGGGCAGTGTCACTGGCCCTCATGTGGGATCCGAACCTGGGCCCTCTGGCGTCCCAAGCCAGCTGTTAACCAACGCGCCACTCGGCCAGCCCTTCTTAAACTTTTTAGACTATAACCATGGCAGAAATGCTTTTTACACTGAGATCCAATATACACGTGCAAGCACACACACACCCCACAAATTTTCATAAAACAGTACTCACCTTTGCTCTATGTTATGCATGGTGATACTTTCTACTTTATTCCATATCATTTTTTAAATGCTGGTTGTGATGTGTAGATTGATTTTACAACCCACTGATGTGTCATGACCCACAGTTTGCCTCTCTTTTAGGTCTTAGAAAGAACGACCGACTCCTTAGCACTTTCCTCCAAGCCCATGAACAGCCCTAAGCACTGGATTCAGTTGAATCTATTATTCCATTAGAAAGTTTGGCCTTTCCCTAGGGGGCACATAATCTGGGGAGATGTCATTATTCTCTATGATACCAAATTACCTTTCTTTTTCCATGCTATGAGAACACTGTTAATATGGGAAATACATTTGAGAAAAAAATATTTCATAAAGGAAGATAAAGAGAAATAACTGTCTTTTGCTTTACTCCATAACCAGTGTCTTGACACTATTTGAAATCAGTGGTAAGAAAATCACAGTGACAAAGTAGATCTATAACAGGAAAACTGGAGGTTTGACTCATGTTTTGGAGAAGAAAGATATAATTACCATATCACTCATAAAAATGAGCCATTTTCAATTTTTTTATTGACAGATCATGTACTTCACACTATCCATCACTATATATTTGTTCTAATCGCCACTAAATATTTGTTCATGTCTTCTTTCCTTGAAAATGTTACTTTTATAAAATGAACAGGTTTGTTCCCTTTTGTTTCAACAAGTCCATGGAGCCATCTTTCATTTGATGTGGGGGAGCGGTGGTATTCTCATGGGCAAGGATGGGATTTTAGGAGGCGTGTGGGCAAGATGAGATGAAAACAGGATAGTCTTTTTTTTTTAAGATTTTTATTGGGGAATTGGGGCATGGGAACAGTGCTGGGGAATTGGGGGAAGGGGAACAGACAAGTTGCTGTCCTTTTGTTCTTCAGTCTAGTTGTGGAGGACGTTGCTTCA